ATCTATAGAACTTACATGTGTTGAAACCTAATTGTTTGGGGGTCAGTAGGTGGCGTGGTGGTTAAGGTGCTGGACTCCCACATGGCTATCCATGGTTCAAATCCCAGACCTGGTAGGTTGCTCTCTACTTCCCTCTTCAGTGAAAGTGTGTGCCCTATAGCAAATTTTTAAAATAATAATAAAATTAAACAAACAACTCTTAAAAAAAGAAACCTAATTGTTTGATAAGTAAATTAATTGTAAATCATGATATGCATGAACAGACTAGAGAGTAGTCACAAAAGTAGTCTATTACTTTTTTTTTTTTTAGGTTTTTGCCATAGGATATATGCGATCACCAGAGAGACTGAGAAAGAAACAGAGAGAGGGAAAGTGATAAATTACCCCCTGGGGGGGTTGGCCATGCCACAGTCCCTTCTCTGCTACTCTTCTGGAATCTGGGGCATGTGCACATACACACCTGGCATGATTTTAAAGCCACCAGGTTTGGGACTCAAACCACAGGCAGTCATGTGGGAGTCCGGTGCTGTAACAATCACACCACCTGCTGCCAAGTCTATTATATTTTTATGAAAAATTTTCTTTCTTCAATTCTTATTGGTAGGACGTTGAACATAGATAACAACAAAATAACAAAAAGCTACCTAGAAATGAAGTTATTATAATATACAACATGCAAAATACAGATATATTATTTTTAAAAGCCCAAAATCATTGAAGTGGACTTAAATAAATTGACCTTATGGTTCAGTTGAAAAAGCATTTTCTTTTCTTTGGAGAGGTTTTTGTTTTTGTTTTTGCCATAGGGCACGTGCATTCACCAGAAAGACAGAGACAGACAGAAAGCGAGAAATCACCCCCCATGGGGATAGCCACGCCGCAATCCCTTCTCCTCCATTCTCCCCTCAGGATCTTGGGCACGCACGCACATGCGCCCAGCATGAGTTTAAGCCGCAGGGTCCGGGACTCGAACCGCAGTTGACTACGTGGGAGTCCAGTGACATAGCCATTATGCTAACTGCTGGTCCCTGAAAAAGCATCTTAATGCCAGATACAAATCTATCACATTAGTCTATGAATTTGAAGGACCAAAATACTAACAAGTTTGATTTAGAAGTGGGACTAGTAACATATCATTCTAGCTTTCAAGAGATTAAACGCATAGCAAACTTGGAGAACAGTCAAAATTCCTATTCATGTCTGAAATGTAACTATATTTTTTATTTCTGAAATATAATCTTAATTGAAGGTAGAAATCTAATCATTTTATCATATCCTGATTGGAGAAAACTATGTAAATCAAAAGAGGACAGTCAACAGCACGATGCATTAAGAAATAAAATCTAAATGTCAAAATATTAGCAGTGAGTGAATAGAGGGTTCCCATGACTCAAGACGGTTATTCACTACTTCAGGTAACGCAGATACGTTACCAATATGAAGGTGTAACCATCAGGCTAATCACAGTTTGTCCCAAATATCTAAAGTACACAACCAGCTTTCTCTGATCTAACTGAAGTTTTATCAAACAAGTTTCTCATTATAAATTTGTTTCCATTTCATTTATCCAGAGAATAAAATTACAAGCATGCAATCCAAAGAAAAATGTTTATCTCATTGCAAATTAGTGAAGTAATATTCTGGGTTATAAACTAGTCTCTTGTGAACTTGGTTAATATAAAGAGAAAGATAAAGCATTAATGTGGATGTACAGAATTGGGAACTTCTCAGAAGGATGAGTTATCATTACACTTTGTGAGTGATTCAGTCATCCCTAGCCTCCTCTGAATTCCATATTCTATTCCCCTTAGAAGCAGAGTGAGAAGAATGTCCATCAGTGGGAGTAGAAAAGAAGGTTGAGTACTCACTGCCTCAGTTAGAGATTTTGATATAAAAGGTGGGCTGCCGGAAGAAGCCCCTGTGAATCATCCTTTCTTTTCTATTATTCCTAGTTTCTTTTTCATTCTCTTTTGTATTTTGTTAGTTCTTATTAGATATTATTGTAAGTGAAATTAATGCCATCTTCAGAATAAGTCAGGTAATAAAATATCCATAAACAATTATTAAACCAATTCTCAGTGTTGACAAAATAATGTTTCTAAGTCAGAAATAGAAAGATACAGACCCTAAATTGTGATAAATTTACCAAGATAAATAAAGCTTCTTGGCAGTCATAAATCTAAAAAAAAATCTGATCAATCTTAAGATAACTAAAACTATTTTTTTAAAAGAAAGCTTTCTAAAGCAAGAGTTTTACGTTATATTATTAAGAAGAAATAAAACAGAAGTAATTGAAATAACAAGCAGAAAGAAACTAGGTTCAAAATGAGTTTCTCAAGAAAACCTAAGAAGGGGGTAGCAGGTGGCATGGTGGTTAAGGCTCTGGAATATGATATGGCTGACAGCAATCGGAGTCCTGGACCTAGCAGATTTAAAATCATGCTAGGCCTGTGTGCATGCAAGCTCAAAATCCTGAGATGAGAATGGAGAAGGGTTTGCAGCATGGCCATCCCCCCTGGGGAGTGATTTCTCACTTTCCATCTTTCTGTTTCCCTTTCTCTTTCCAGTGAGTGCACACACCCCAGGCAAAAACTACTTAAGCCCCATTTTTTTTTCTTTCTAATATGATCCAGAACCAAACCGATATAAAAATTAGTAATTTTGGAGATGTTCCAACTACGGAAATGTCATCTAGTGTACATGTATAACTGTAATTGTGACTGTAAAATTGTGACTTTTATTAAAATACTAATTCTAAACGTAGAAACTTATTTTTCTTCTGGCTTCTCCCTCTCCTCTTGCCTTCTCCTTATTAGTTATCAATGCCAGGAGTGGTCAAGACGGAATGATTAAAAAAAAAAAGAATACCATTGCAAATACTAAATCACACATAATCTACAAAGCTTTGAAAATTTAAATTAATACAACCCACTTTGAGATAATTCTACCATGAACTACACTTTCCCAAAGACTTTTTAGCATTTAATATTTATAAAAGCTTTGAGTAAAGCCGATACTACACTGGAAGGATAATGAGCTTACACTCTTAATTACACCAACTCAGAACATTATGACCAATATATGTGCCCAGTTTATTAAAAAAAAAAAAAAGATGACATTACTATTACAGCATCTGTCAATTTCAGTAGACATGATCATCACAGTAAAAATTAGCTATATTTTTAACACAAAGGAGTGTCAGAAATGACACACACACATGAAACCTTGGAGTAATCTGTATTTGTTTAATGACTTTAGTATCTTACTATTTTTGAAGCATAATAGTAATAAAACAGAAAATAACAGTTGATACTAGAATTTTTACACTCCTATGTTTAAAACATATTATAAAAAAACCTCAAGCATTATTCACTGCTTTAAAAAAAAATCACTTTTGGGAACCAGCAGTTAGCGTAATGGCTATGTCACTGGACTCCCACGTAGTCGACCGCAGTTCGCGTCCCGGACCTGGTGGCTTCAAACTCACACCAGGTGTGTGTGTGTGCGTGCCCAAGATCCCGAGAGGAGAATGGAGGAGAAGGGATTGTGGCGTGACCATCCCCCTTAGGGGGTGATTTCTCGCTTTCTGTCTCTATGTCTCTCTGTCTGTCTGCCGAGCGCACGCGTCCTATAGCAAAAAAAAAAAACCTCTCCAAAAAAAAAAAATCACTTTTTATATGATCTATTCCAAGCATACTAAATCTCAAGTTAGATATATTCTGAATGATGTGTCTAAGCAAAGCCTGTATTTGAATATTACATAGCCAAAATGTTGTTGAAGTACGATATGTGAACATTACATTTCCTTGATCAGTTAAAAAAAAATATGGAATAAGCATTACCGTATGACTATGTAAATGAAATATAAAAGACAGAAAAATACAGAAAGAACTTGAATACTTTTCTGATATTATTGTGATATAACTACTTTCAAAGCACACTAACAATAATAAGCAGACTCAAGTCTAAGGTGGATATAATCTACAACCTTCTAAATCAATAAGAGTACAAATACCATGAATAGATCCACTTTAGAAAAATTGCTGGGTACCCATGGAAAAGAAGAAAACCATAAAGCCTCATTAAAACACAGGTGTTGGGCAGTTCTATGCACACTTATTGGTTATCAAAATTTTGCCTGGAAAATTATGAATTGCTGTATCATAGACTTTGCAGCTTATTAATAGTCAAAACCATGACTGCTAAACTCTTGAATGTCAAGAGCATGCTCTAAATGTCTAAGAATGAACAAAGAAATGAATGAAATAAATCTTCTAGGCATAATGTCAACCTGAAATTTGTCACCTAGAAAACAGCATTTCTCCTGATACATTCCCTAGAGAAATGAAAATTTAAGGTCACTTAACCTGTAAATGAACATTTAAAGCGGCTCTATTCTTAATCACCAAAAAGGAAACAACACAATGTCCTTCAATCAGTATAGATTGAAATTGAAAAATATCCATACATTGCTATTCCTGCAAACACAAAGTAACAAACTATTGGCATACCCAACAACTCAGATACATCTTCGGGTATTACGGTGAATACAAACAGTAGCCTCAAAAGGTTACATATGTTGCAATTCCATTTATGTAACTTAGTCAAAAAGACAAAGGTACAATGACTAAGAAAAGATCAGCAGTTGCCAGGGTGAAGAGCAGGAGATAGAGATGAGCATAGAGAGATAATAAGGGAATTCTGTGGGGTGGTGAAATTGTTCTGCATCATGGCTGTGGTAATGGTTATGTGAATCTATATGTATCAAAATCCGGACCTATATAGGCAATTTTACTATATGAATCATAGTTTTAAAAATAAACAGCATTTCCAAGAATCAACTTATTTGTCTCACCTGTTCTAAAAAGTGTGACAATACTGTATACAACCATCTTACAATTTTGCCCAGTAACATTTGCTAATGACAGTAACAAAAGTCAACAAAAAGTGACGTAAAATCTTTAAGCCTCTACTAACTCTTTAATCAAAAAAGGACTTACCAAGTTCATTGAGACTCTGAGCAGCTTTTGTTATTTCTCTACTTCCCCCTTGCAGTTGTCCTTGAAGTCTCTTACTGAGATACAAGATGCGAATAATCCTCCGAAGCAAATCACAGGCAACCTGTGCAAATATCACAATGTTTAAGTATAATCAATTCATGAAGTTTTATTACTATTACTGTTAATAAATGGCTGCTCATTCTTTCCAGATGCTAAAGATTCTTCATGCCTTTTTCAAAGTTTATTTATCCATTTCTTCCGGGAGAAAGATGGAGAGACACTCCCAACAGAACCTTCACTCTTTGATCCCTCTTACCCCCAGCCACAGCTAGTCAGGAACACAGGTGTGTGTGCCCACACAGCGCACATGTAGAGGGAAACCTTGGGATGCGAACCTAAGACCATCCCAGGTAGATCAGCATGACAGAGCATTGCATTACTGCTGCACCACCATCGTTAACCTCATTTATGCCTTTTTATTTTATTTTATTTTCATCCCCACCATTTAGAAACTTAAATAATCACAAGCCTTAAGAAGCATCATATCACCTAGGGGACATACAGAAGTACTATTTTTACCTTTTACAAGGAACTCCAATTTATGTCAAATAGAGTATCTGAGATTGAGGCACTGGGGAACCCACAGGTTCTTCTCAGTCATGGGCCAGTTTTCTTTTCTAAGCCAGTGGATCTCAGTCTTGACTGCAAATTAAACTTAAGTGGATAGGTTCCAAAAGCTCTGATGTCCAGGCCATAGCCCTGACCAATTAAATCAGAATCTCTAGGGGTAAAAACCAAGCATCACTATTCTCTTTTCATTATCCCCACAAGCAGCCAAGACTGACTTCACTGTACTAGGCTGAGTAGCCTCCTTCTGCTGTTCCCTGCAGTTTCCATAGCTGGCTTCTCTTTTCTAGGTCCCTACAGGAATGGTCTTAAGACTTCCCCCAATCTTACTAATTCTCAAAGAATTATAAGCATACTCCATAGAGTTTTCTTAGACATTTTTATCACTAATAAACTATAAAAGGGAAAGTTACAATGACCACCACCCCCCCCCCCAAAAAAATAAACCCTATCCCATGTATTTTCACATTACCTCCTATTCTCTCTCAAATCTTTACTGGCTTTTAACCTATCCAAAAACAGGTAAGAAATAAAAATTAATCTAATTCAGGAAACTTTATCACCAAAGCTGGATCCTGAGCAGTTAGCCTGCGGATGAATGAGGTGGAATGGATCAGACGGAATAATGAGTAAGCAGTGATCTTCAGTCTCAGAACTGATAAAGGAAGGAGACAGCCTACACTGCTGCATGAATGCCACCTTTGAATGGCCCTGAGGCTGCAAGGATTTCTCCTCTACTCAGCAATAACAGTAGAAATAAAAATTAGAAGTACTAAGAAGACAGGACCCCTGGGCTTCCAGCTATTAATATAAACATTCTTTTATGGGTGAAATGCACACATACATACACCAGAACCACACACAGTCATACCCACACACCCACAGTTCACATCATGCACACACTCAACATGAACATACAAACACACACATGTTTACAAACATATATAAGTCAAAAACAACTAAGTATTAAACATGTTTACCTGACTACTTTTTGGAGTAACTATTGTCTGAAGTACTTAAAAGACTATAAGAATGCCAAATAAGAATTTGGACATATTAATCTTTTAATTAAATGTTACTTATTTTCTGAATATTTCTTGAATAATACAAGCACATGATTTAAAATTCAAAATCTAAACAGAAATAACACTGAAAAGTCAGGATCAGGTGCCAGTAGGAGGTGTGGTGATTAACATGCTAGACTCCCACATGGCTGACCACTGTTCAAGTCCTAGACCTAGGGGCTTTATTTCTCATCTTTCCTCTCTGTCTCTCTCTGGTGAGCATATGTGCCCTACAGTAAATGAAAAAATAATAACAACAAATAAAATTAAGTAAATAATTCAAAAACAAAAAGTCATAATCACATCTCTATGTTCCTATATGTATTTGACAGTAACAACCACTGTTACCTGTTTCTTGTCAGAATTGGCTTTCTTTAGATGAATAATTTGGAATGTAAAATCCTTAGGAACAATTCCTCTAAGATTCAAAATGCATCATAAGGAGAAATACCAGAACTTGCTCTAGTATGATCCCCTGAAATTGTCCTTCCAGAATTCTCCAGTCCTATCCAATAAAGAGTATACCCTCAAACATGAAATCTTTGAGTTAACTCCTAATTATTTTATCTTAGATTTTTGTTTTAGGGTGTGTGTACTTGCCAAAGAGAAAGAGAGACAGAGAGACAGAAAGCAAGAAATCACCCCCACAGGGGGATTGGCCACACTGCAATCCCTTCTCCTCCATTTCTCAGGATTTGGGGCATGCATGCACATGCACCTGGTTTGAGTTTGAAGCCGCTGGGTCTGGGACTCGATCCATAGACGGCCATGTGGGAGACCAGAAACATAACCATCACACCATCTGCTAGTCCCAATAATTTTAACATCCATACTTTACTGTCACCAGATCTTATTGATTATCCTACTGAATAACACAGCACTTGTTATTTTTCCTACAAGTGTCACCCTAAGCCTAACCTTTATAACCTTCACCTTAACACAGGGGTCTCCTGGCTCGTCTTTTAGTCTCTCACTGAAATCTTACCTACCAAATTCACCTTTTTAAAAGCACAGTTTTCGGTACTATAGTCATCTTAATAAACATTAGTGGCTCTCTATTTACAGATTATGTTACATCTTCTGCGAATAGCACTTAATAAAATCCTCAATCAGCAAGACTTTAAACTAATCTACAAGGCATTCACTCGCTCCATTTTCCAATATAGTTACCTCTTCTACATCAATTTTCTTTCCTTAGAAACACAGAAAGCCACTTCAGAGAAGCACAGAAATCTACTTCAGAGATAAACAGTGAACCTGGAATCACCACAAAGATCAGAAGACGGAACTGTGTCAGCGACCACAGCAACCCTTACGATCATATCACCTTCCATCCATCCTTCACCTCCACAAGAAGAGACGCCCTATGCTGACCTTTATGGTCATCTTTTCCTTACTTTTATCTATGGTTTAATTACTACAGTAAATACTCCTAAGCAGTCTAATTTTGCTCTTTTATAATCTATAGTTTTCCTTACCATCTCTTTATCTTTGCAATTTGTTGAATATATTGAAACATCTGTCCTACAGTTTCCCACAAACTGGGTTTTGTTGACTGTATCTCCGTAGTATAGTTTAACAAGTTCCTGTCTTCATATTTCCTGTATGTTTGTAGCTGGATGTAGGCAGTTTCAACAGATTCGGGTTTAATATTTTTGGCAAGATTAATAATTAGGTGGTAACATATTTATAACACATCCATGATTTTATCTCTTTTTGTGATGTTATCAGCAACAGGTATGCAAAGTCAAAAGTCATTAAAACATAAATGATTACAAAATGATGATACTCCAAATTCTATCATTTCATTTTCATTGCTTGGCACATAAAATTTCCCTATAAAAAAAACTTTGTTTTGTGGCCAGCAGGTGGCATGGTGGTTAAGGCGCTGGACTCCCACATGGCCTACCATGGTCTGAAAATTACTCAGGGTGTGTGTGCATGTATGCCCAAAATTTCAAGAGGAGAATGGAGGAGAAGTGATTGTGGTGTGGCCATCCCCCCCTCCCCCAGGGGGTGACTTCTCACTTTCCCTCTCTCTGTCTCTCTGGCAAGTGCATATGCTCTATGGCAAAAACCTAAAAAAAAAAACTTTATATTTCGTCATCTATTCTTTTTTGTTTGTTTGTTTGTTTGTTTGTTTGTTTGGAGAGGTTTTTGCTATAGGGCACATATGCTTGCCAGAAAGACAGAGACAGACAGAGAGACAGAAAGCAAGAAATCACCCCCGGAGGGATGGCCACACCACAATCCCTTCTCCATTCTCCTCTCAGGATCTTGGGCACGCATGCACACACATCCAGCATGAGTTTTAAGCCACCAGGTCCGATTCTCGAACCGTGGTCGACTACATGGGAGTCCAGCGACATAGCCATTACGCCAACTGCTGGTCCCTCGTCTTCTATTGTTTACCCAGGGGTTCTACTCATATAGGAAAGTAAGAATAAATACTTGATCTTTCACTTACTTCATAATTTTCAAAACGAAGCGATGGTTTTCCAATATCCATCAAAAATGAACTAGAGTGAGATTTCACGTTTGTTTCGTTGGGGGATTTTGGTATGGTTTCCTATTATTACAGACTTATAGATTAAATATAGTGATGGATGCCAATCTATTGTAGCTTTTATCCTTATTGATGATCAGACTGACTTGCTTCAGCCAGTGGGTTTCTCTAAGCATGAGCAAATGTACCACTCTGCCTGACACTGAGAGGTTTCCAGGATTTAGGAATTTCAGTGCTAAAACTGAGATGGTTGATCACCCTGAAGCATTTTTAAGTTGGTTCCTGAGTTCTTTTGTCATGAACACAGTTGTCATTGATAGCTTCCTTGGTATCTGGTATAAAAATGTTACAGAATAAACATCTGTCCTACAGTTTCCCACAAACTGGGTTTTGTTGACTGTATCTCCGTAGTATAGTTTAACAAGTTCCTGTCTTCATATTTCCTGTATGTTTGTAGCTGGATGTAGGCAGTTTCAACAGATTCGGGTTTAATATTTTTGGCAAGATTAATAATTAGGTGGTAACATATTTATAACACATCCATGATTTTATCTCTTTTTGTGATGTTATCAGCAACAGGTATGCAAAGTCAAAAGTCATTAAAACATAAATGATTACAAAATGATGATACTCCAAATTCTATCATTTCATTTTCATTGCTTGGCACATAAAATTTCCCTATAAAAAAAACTTTGTTTTGTGGCCAGCAGGTGGCATGGTGGTTAAGGCGCTGGACTCCCACATGGCCTACCATGGTCTGAAAATTACTCAGGGTGTGTGTGCATGTATGCCCAAAATTTCAAGAGGAGAATGGAGGAGAAGTGATTGTGGTGTGGCCATCCCCCCCTCCCCCAGGGGGTGACTTCTCACTTTCCCTCTCTCTGTCTCTCTGGCAAGTGCATATGCTCTATGGCAAAAACCTAA